CACTGTGGGATTAAAGAGCTTCTAAGTCATATATTCAATAGAATTTATAATAAATCCTATTTCTAGTCATATGCTAATCGTGCTCAATTCTTGCCTAAATAATGTATCCAATCGACTTGTTTAAAAATAATTATGATTAATTGTAATTAATTTTTGCTAACAATAGTTAATTACAATTAATCAGGTTTAATTTTAGTTCATTATAACTAATTCCATTAATTATAATTAACTTTTAATTAATTATAATTAATTTAAGTAAGTTATAATTAATTTTAAATTGATTATAAATTCAAGTTAATTATAACTAATTTTCTCATTAAGATAAATTATTAGTTAATAATAATAAGACTAGAAACAGAATCTGGATCTTTACAAATCCTAGAAAACCTCTTATCATTTCTTTCACATCAAATGAAATAAAGATATCAACAAGTAGTTAAAAAATAATAATATTTAATATTACAAGAAATATTAAGATCTGTAATAAAATCAAAAACTTGAATAAGGTTAGGTTTAAGAAAAAAAATGCTAAAAACTAGGAAATAAAGAAGAAATAATGGAAAAAGAGAAATTACAATAAAAAAAATGATTATGAGATTCTAACTCAGAATTGCACAAAACACAAACAGGAGGAATATAAACATTTCTATTTGAAAGAATATCAAAATTTTTAAGTCTATATAATATAGCCATCCAAGTATAATAGGAATACCTCAAGACATACCGTTTATGCTGAATATATTTATACCAGGAAATTTTAACAAAATCCTGAAAGTAAGCCATATAATAACTCTCTTAAATTTTGGATAGAGCTCACCCTCCCATTTTAGATAAAAGATAGAAGTGCTCTGAATATCAATAGAGACATTCAAGAACTGCAGCCCTACTTAAAACAAAAAAAACTTAGATCAATTAGTCAAATACTCAACGACTTTACAGCCCTACTTAAACATAATTAATGGTCTTAGCAAAGCCACATTTATCATATCTAAACTTTATTTTCAACCAAAAAAAAAGTGGTTTTCCTAGAGAGAGATTTCAAATTTTGTCTCCCAGCGCTTCTTTCTCGCGGCCGGTGGCGCCGTCGCCGGGAGTTCTTCTGTGATTTTTGCCGATGATATGGACGTCCCGCGGCCCTCTGGTATTCTCCACAATGGTAACAAAGGGAGGAATGGTGTGGTGATTAAAGAGGGGGCGAACTTGCCAATTCGTCCTGTTTTGGTAGAAGGCAAAGGTAAGAAGATTCTGAAGGATATTTTGGATTCTCATTGTAATCCGATTGCAAGAAATTGTGTCGATACAACAAATTCAGGTTTTCTTGATTCATGTGGGAAGGAAGAACTGATCTTGAAGGTTAAAGGATTTTCTGGGTTGATCAGGGCCAATCATGACCCAATTGATTCTACAGATGAAGAAATTCTGGGAAATCAAAAGGGTAATGGTGAAGGAAATGCTTTTGAAAAGGATAAGGTGAATGAAGAAATTCTAGGGAACAAATTACAGGATGTTAATGAACAAAATAACAATGGTGTGATTGACGGAGCTTGGTCGAAGCTTAAGCACATTAAGATTGCGTTTGATTCAGGAAAAGTTGAATTATCTGAATATGGGATTGCGATTAAGCTTAATTGAGAGAAGGAATCAAAAAATTCTGAAGTTTTGAAGCATTCTATTATTATTAAGGTTCTTGGTAACAATATACCTTTCTTTGTCTGTAGCATGGAACTGAGAAGACAATGGAGTAAGTTTGGTGGATTCCATATGACTTCAATTGGTATGAATTGGATTCTTTGCTCATTCCAAACAAATGAGGTGGTGGAAGAAGTATTAAACATGGGACCGTAGTATGTTAATGGGAACATTGTCGGGATGGACAGGTGGTCTCCAGCCTTTGATCCATATTCATTCAAAGGAATTTCGGCTCCTGTTTAGATCAGACTCCCTTGTCTACCGCTTTACTGCTGTGATGAAGATAATTTGGCAAGGATTGCTTCATGATTTGGAATGCCTATGTTCTTGGATGGAAATACTTTTAGATGGGGAAAGAGAGAATTTGCCTGTATTTGTGTCAAGATCGACTTGGAGAAGAAACTGTCGAATGGGGTTTGGATGATGGACAAGCTGGTAGATTCTTCCAGCGTGTTGAATACGAGAAGATTCATGCACTCTGCTATCATTGTGGTTCATTGGACATGATGTGAGGGAATGTCTTGATAAGGTTGTTCACGGGATCAAGGATCAGTTGGAGAAGAATTCAAAAATTGTTGTAGGGGAGTTTCAAAAAGCTGAAACTGAAGTAAAAAATGTGGTGAACAAATCTGAATATGGCCCTTGGATACACGTCCACTTCAAAAAATAGAAGATTTATCAAAGGAGGAGGAGAGGCTAAAACAAAGAAAAATAATAATGGGAGCAAACATAAAAACAGAGGAAGCATGGATTGTTGCGGATCTATGGCTTATGAT